TAAAAAAAATTAGGAGGTATTGGTAATTTTTAGGACTGGTCCTAAGGACCTGATATATCTTAGAGGTCCCAGGGCCATGATATATGGTCCTTGAAGGACTGGTCCCAAATTTCAGACCATTTGGGCCCTGATATATCTCAAAGGTCTCAGGCCCATGATATATGGTCCTTGAAGGACTGGTCCCATTTTGGGACTAGGCCTTACCCAAGTCTAAACAAGTCGCACCCTCTTCTCATTTTTAGACAAAAAAAATTATTTAGGTTAGATTAATTTTTAGATTAGATTGACCAAATAAGTAAATAAATACATATCCTATTTTTTAATCCAAACGGAACAAAGAATAATGATAGATAATAATAGTATAAGAAATAGAGGCAATATCACCTAACCGTGCAGTTTTAGACTTTTAGTCCATTATATTTATAGTCTTGGTCTTGGTGAAATAATAAGAATAATAGATAAATTGCATAATTAAAGAATTAAAAATAATTTATTTGTAAAATTTCACATGATTTTAATATATTTATATACATATTTGAGTAATTATATACTTACTCATCATCTTACTAACCATTTTACTATTATTTGTAAATATAACGCATAGTATAGATATCATAAACATAATACGGATACTATATATAATTTTAACAAAGTTAATAACGGGTTTGTAAAATTCGTGAATAAACATAATATTACTCTACGTATTTCAACATCATCATTTGGGATATTTTTGTCATCTCAGTTATGGTAATTTTTTTTTTTTTTTTTTTAACACAGGTTTTGTTGACTGGTGAGACCAAATGGCAGAGTGCCAAATTGCGACTTTGGAGCAAGAAATGAGACAAATTAGTGGTCAACATAATTAAATATTATATGCCCAAATGTAATTAAAATTATTTGTCTCTTTGGGTCAGTTTGGTTCGGGGTTAAGTGGGCATTACTGGGGTAATGTCATCTTATATTACTATGTCATCTTATATTACTTGATTATTACGTTTGGTTGTCAAGTAATATAAGATACCAGTAATCTTCAAATACCAATAGTGGTTACTATTGATAATATAAGAGGTAATCTGATTACCTCTATTTTCTTAGGTTTTCTGAGATTATCAGGGTTATCTTTTTTTGTTATAATTTTATCCCTTATTAATAAAAATTTTGGACAATAATACCCCTACTTTAAAACAAATTTACATTAATATCCTATTTCAATTTTACCCTTGTTTAATTAAAATTTTGGACAATAATGCCCTTATATTTAAAATAATTTACAGACCACCACTGCCACCTAGCAGCCACCACCGTCGACAGCGGTCAACCACCACGGACCACCGCCGAAAAATTGCCGGAGTCCCTAAAAACACTGGAAATTCTGTGGGAGGCTCCGGGAGGTTTCGCTATGGCCGTTTTTGGCCATATTGATGGCCGAAAACGGCCATATCGGGCCAGAAATTGTCAGATCTATTCTGGCCATTTCCGGCCAGATCGTGGGATCTGGCCGTGACCAAACCTGGCCGATAATGGCCAGGGATCTGGCCGTTAACGGCCAGATCTGGCCCGATATGGCCGTTTTCGGCCATCAATATGGCCAAAAACGGCCATAGCGGAGCCTCTTGGTCACGGTGACGTACTCACGGGCACATCCGGTGGTGGTTCGCGGTGGCGGCAGGAGGTGGGGGTGATTTCGTCATAAATTAAAGTTTTATATAAGCGGGGGTGTTTTAGCTAAATCTAAAATATTGGGGGTTAAAAGAATTATTCAAAAATTAATAATAAAAATAATTTTATATTAATATTTAAAAGAGGGACAATTTAGTAATTTAAATAGCATACCTACTAATTTATTCCCCATAACCAAACATATTAATATAACATACCCACCAACTAACCAAACATATTTTTCTAAAGATTCCCAGTAATCTTTCAAGGTAATCTATTTTTCCAGTAATTCAATATTTTCAATAATTTAACATTCCTGAACCAAACGCCCCCTTTAAGACACCCGAAACAGCTGGGAATTAAAATGACTTCACTTTACTCTACGTCTATACTTCTTCCCAAAATTATTTAAATAAAAATAAAATAAGGTTGAAATTCATGATATTGACAACATTTATCTCGGGTTCCTGGCTTTTCTGCCGGATCCTGGAAACTCACGTGTCCTTTTAATTAACTAACTCCACTGCCTTTATATTTAAGTAATTAAGTCCCGATTAATATCTCAAAACCTTTTCCGCATTTAAGTTATCTATTTTTCACTCATTATATTGCTTTTAACTAAAAATAAATATTTTGATTTTCTTGTATAATTTTTAGCTTTTTTTTTTTTTTTTTTTGGTACGAGTACTTGCTGGTTTTGAAAGTTTAATCCTAACCTTTGTGTATTGATCTTTTCTGTATGAGTATTTACCGATTTCAGAAATATCATTAATTCAACTTTCAAATATATAAATATATAACTCTCTTAACGTTATTGATAAATTTTGGATATCAAATTGATTGAATTAGGATAAATAGTAAAAAAGTCATTTTTTTTCAAATTTAAACAAAATAACGTAACGGTTTGTTTATTCTGAAATCAGTTATTACTCACTATAAAAAAGACCAAACACATGAGAGTTAGGATTATATTTCTGAAATTAACGGATGCTCGCTACAAAAAGATGTAACACATGGAGTTTACATGAAAAAAACCCTATTGTTTATGGAAATAATTGGCAATAATATTAGAGCAAACAACATATTCCCACCTGAGATTTAGTGAAACTCAAGTTGATATTCATTGTTGCATTTATTCTAGATTCTTACCCTTAAAGTAACATCGTTTCCTTTATTTTAACAGATTCCTAAATTTTCACTTTTTTTGGTAGAAGACAAGCTCATGTTAGCAAAAAAAGCCTACATTAATAGCATCCAAGTTGACGGTTTTTAGCTTTTTTCTGACCGATTCTGAAGTCCAAAATCATTTCCGAGACCACCATTTTGACTCCTTACAATCTCTTATTCTCCTCTACAAAACCCATATCTTCACTTGTCGACCCCACTTACCATTTTTAATCATCTTCAACAGTCACTAACAGTATTAGTTTAAGGGTAAACTCTAGAATAAATGTAACTAAGAGTATCAACTAAAATTTTGCTAAACCTCGAATGAGAATATGTCATTTACTCGTAATATTATGATCAAGGTTTTAAAACCCGACCCGGGGGGTGATCCATTCAGGCGACCGGGTCATGGGTTAACCGGTTTAACCAATGGTTTGATAGGTTTGAAATCTAGTAAACACACCCCAGATAAATAATAGCATTAGATCCTATAGGTTTGAAATCTAGCAAACACCTAACCAAATGCAAATCGACGATCAACTGGGAGAGCGGCGACGACACAACAGGGAGGGTAGATCGGGTGATGGGCAGGACGAATCGACAATTGGCAAGTTGAGGCATTGCTGGAAAATGGTAGATCGGTGGTGGAAGTCAAATGGTTGCGGTGGCTTTTTTTGGCGAGATGACTATGGATCTTCGTGAACGACAACAAGGGAGCTTGGGAGAAGGTAGATCGGTGGTTGAGGAGGCCTATCGATGACAGAGAAGGTCGATCGATGCGAGGAAATTGAAGAAAAATTGCTGGACGACGAAACATCGCGCGACGGCGGGAGATGAAGCTTCACGACCCTGGATAAAGTTAGAAGGTGGTTTCCGATAGCAAGGGAAGGTGGAAGGTCATCGGAAAGGGGAGGTCATTGTCGATTTGCATTTGGCCAAAGGGTGTGTTTGTTGGATTTGAAACCTTTAAGCACTGATACGTATTAATTAGGGATGTATTTGCTATATTTCAAACTTAAAACAGTTGTCAGGGTAACCTTACCAACCATGATTATGATTCAAATTAAAAAAGTTTTAAAATTTGAGTGATGCGTGAGTGCTGAGTAAGAAGGGGAGACTGCCAGTCTGGAGAGTAGATAATTATTGGTAAGTGTTTAGGTGAAGGTGAAAAGGGTAAATTAAAAAAAATACGGCAACTACGCTTCTGCTGCCTACGTATAGTGACAGCGCAACATAGCTGACCAATGTAGACTTAACCTTTTTCTGTTTTTGTCCCTAATCTCTTCCTCTTCTTTAAACTCCCGTCTCAATTACCCTATATCCTTTAAGAGCATTTCTTAAGGTTTATCAAAAAATATTAAATATCTCTATTAAATGGGTTTTTGTAAAAAAAAAAAATTGAATTTTTAAATATTTTTTGGGTTTTTTTATTATTACAAATGATTTATTTTTGTATTTAATTTGTTATTAATAAATTTATTTAAAAAAGTGCTTTAAAGAAATAGAAGAAGTAAAGATTGTCTCCCAACGAGGAATGCTTAACCCGATATTAATTAATTAACAATAATAAACTTGATTATAACATTATTAAGGAAATACTTTTTTTTATTAATTATAAATAATTTGTTTGTCTCTCGTGCCTGCTGACAGTTTGACTAGCTTCAGTACGCGTGGGCGCTGTCTTTGTCTGCTACTCTTATCCTACCGACGCCAGTCTCGAGCCGACGTCGAGCACCTTTCTTTCACAGCTGAGAACAACAGCTCTTTCCTCTTTTCACTGAAAATGCCAGTTCAATCATCTTCTTTTGAGAACAAAACCATCCTTTCTCTTAATCTAAAACATTCACTTTTGATTTGATTATTATTCTCATGATCAAAATCATCGTTCTTTCCAACAGGAGAATCACTTTCTCTTTGCTTCAAGACATGTAGATACTTACATTACACGCTCTGCATTCTGTTCCTGCTCCTTCTGTTACATTCTTGTCGTTTTGCTCTCTCTGTGCTGTCGTTTCTTCCCTGACCTACACTGTTTTGTTGTTGTTTCTTTCGGGAAAAATTTTCACTCATTGCGTTTTTGTACGGCCTTTTTTATTCATTTTTATTATTTCTCTTACTTTCATCGCGTATTCTAAGCTCTTCTGAGCTTGATTTTTAGCAGGATAGATGGGGATTTTGTAATGTGGAGAGCTTGGTTTGGGGTTTTGTAATGTGGTGGGATTTGTTTGAGTAGAGTTTGTGGAGGTTTTTTGGGCTAGGTTTCGTTTACATTTTGTTGTTAGTTTATCAGTGAGAGAGATGAATGAAAACACAGGGAAAACGGCGCCTTGTTTGGCGATAACAGAGAAGCGGGCGCATAGACCTGGAGGTTGTGTAGGTATTTTCTTTCAACTCTTTGATTGGAACCGTAGATTTGCTAAGAAGAAGCTCTTCTCTAGAAAATTACTCCCTCCAGGTTAGTGTTTGTATTTATGTATGTTTGTTTTTAAAGTTCTCACTTTTTGAAGAAAGTTTGAATTTTGATAATTCTTACTGCATTGTTGTTTATTAAAGTTCTCATTTTGTGAGGAAAGTTTGGTTTTTGATGATTGTTGCTGCATTGTTTTTAAACAGCTCGAGCAAAACAAGTTTCAAATAAGTTTGGAGGGGATGAGAAGATGCCCAAAACCAAGCTTCACTTGGTGATATATTTGTTTACTTTTCCTGAATTGTGTTTCTTGTTTTTGCTTTGGAAATAATTGGTGGATGTTTTTGTTATCTTTGTGAATGATAGATTGCTGATGAGAACAGTGGGGGCTTCCCTAATGTGAAGAAAAGTGGTAACCGTAGTAGTAGTGTTGATTTAGAGACCAAGCATGAGATGAAAGCTCCGAGTTTGGTTGCTAGGCTGATGGGTCTTGAATCTATGCCTACTCTACAAAAGGATAAGCCCAAGAAACCTTCCTTTTCGGGTTCTTGTGATGTTAGAGAAGAGAAGTTTGTGAATGAACATAGTGGATCTAACAGGGAAGATTCAAGTTCGGAGAAAGGTGGTGCAAGGATTGAATCTAGGCCTCAGAAGATACAAAAGACTGGGCAGTCTGAGAGACGGGCAGTGACTAGGTTTGGAGCTGAGGCATTGCAAATTAAGAGTGTTTTGTCTCGATCAAGAAAGCACCAGTCCAAATTTGCTTCTCCTGTGAAGAGTCCCAGGGTTTCCTCTGCAAGGAATGTGTCAAGGACCTCTAGATTGATTGATGCTGCTACTAAAATTTTGGAGCCTGGTCTGCAAGCTACTAATAGAGCAAAATCTGCACTTACTTATTCAAGTTCGACTCATTATGCTGTCACGAATGAGGTTTTTACAGAGGCAAGAATGGGGGGTATGTCTCCGGAATTTTCAAAACAATCTGGTTATAATGTAAGCGCAGGTAAATCTTTGATGGCACATACTTCTTGTAGAAATTGTGGTAATTTCCTTGATGTTGTGGACTGCCAACCAAATGTGGAAGAACAACCTTTTGTTTATTCATCCCCTGATTCAAATTTAGTCAATATCTCTTCTCCGGGATCTGGAAAGAGTAAATCAAAGCTACCCATGTCATCCATTGACAGAGAAAGAGTTGCCAATTTTCAGCAATGTGACCAACCTATGTCTCTGGGTGCTGTAGAAAAGGATAAGTGCAATATGCGATCAGTTAGGACACGCAGTCCAGATAGGAAGCCTCCATTGCAGGAAGGCCAAGTTCAGTGGCATTTGACTAGTCAGCAGCGCAAGCCTCAGAAAGAGGAACCATCTTCATTTAATTTAAAGCAAAAGACTCAAAACCAAAATCGGATGTCCTTGGATGGAGATAGGATCCCGTCAAGGGCCAAACTGAGTAATCTGCAAAGCAAGAGAGTCTCTTCACCTGTAAATACTGTTTCGGGGGCCAAAGATTTTGTTGCTTTAAACCGAAGTTTAAGTGGTCGCACCCGGGCTAGGGTTCCTGCCAAACTAGAGAATTCTACTTCTGAAGCAGAGAGAAAATCTTTTAACCAGCAAGATAACTCTTTATCACAGTTAAGGACCCCGGTACGGAAGAGGAGGACTGTTGGTGTAAATGGACAGGTTGAAAGTACTGCCTCTGTCAATTCCATGCTAGGAAAACAAAGAAATGTTAGGTGCGATGTGGGGAATGGAAAAGAGATAGGTCAAAACGCATGTTCCGTGGATCAGAGTTCTGCCAAAAATAGAGCAGCCAGGCACAGGGATGGTAGTAGACCCAATGGAAATAAGGAAAGTGATGTTATTTCTTTTACATTTAATTCTCCAATTAGACACAAGAAAGGAATTTCCGCTGAGGTGAAAGAGCAAATCAAGGATGAAAATGACTTTGGCAGTAGGAATGCATGCTGGCGAAAGAAAGTGGATGAAAATGATGGCTTGTCTCTGCAAAAGCAATGGCCATTGAGAGGAGATGCTTTAGGTGCCCTGCTAGAGGAAAAATTGAAGGAATTGACTTCACAAGAGGATGAATTGATAACAGCAGGTTCCTCACCTAAGAGGTCCACTGCTATGATTCTTCAAGAGCTTATATCGGCTTTGACTGCAGACCAGCCTATCCCTCGGGAAGGTCATGTATCTGATACAGATGTAGCTTTCCAGGTTGGTTCTCTCATCACTGGCATACTCGTTTTTGCGACTTGGTGCAACATTAACTCAAATCATTGTTGGTGGCTGAATTGCCTATGAGACTCTGATAATTATTATTTTTGAATTTGATATGTTTTTTCTGATGCCTTTGTTGTTTTCTGTCTTCATTTTCTGAATAATTTTGACAATCATTGATTAAATAATGGATGATTGAAAGTTTCAGAGGCATAATAACCTTGCCAGGGTAGTTTTAGTGCTATATTGATAAGAGTGGGGTATTTCCAAGATAAATCATGTCAACTCAATAGTGATCATACTTTCATCATTGGCTTGCAGCATTAAAGCTTTTTCTTCATTTAATAGATTTCATCATGATATGGGAGTGATGTGAGAGGTCTAAAATGTTTATAACTTACATACTAGCCAATTCACACTTTATGAAAATCTATAATAAGTTTATGGTCATAAGATGTGTTCTTGCCCAATAACTTGATAAAATTACTGAAGTGAATCTGTTCTACGCATTTCCAGCTGCATAAACTCATACTCCCGAATTATTTGATGACCTTGTTAGAATACATGGATATTAATTTGTTTACTTTGGTTGATTTTATAATATTTTAATAATTTGTATTATGGCCGAGTGTTGCCAGTGAAAACAGTTGTTCCTGACAAGTATTGTTTCTTCTGTACTTCTCAGACAAAGGATACGTTGTTTGGATTTGCATGTGATGGTGATCATCTTAGTCCTGGTTCTGTTCTTGAAGCTTCATTTTCGAATGACAGCTGCTTCTCCAGTAGCCTAGATGATAGCTCAGGTAAATAACTTGAATTTATTTGTCAGAAAAAAAAATAAAATTGTATCATATTTTACTTAAAAAATGTTGAATGAAGGAACTTAGTCATACCTTTCTGTGGATTGCCTTAGTTCTTGACTCTCATTTTTTGCAAACTGCCATGAACTTATTCTTCTTTTTTCTTTTTTTCTTCTCTTTCTCTCTTTTTTTATAAATTATATCTAAAACTTTTGGTTGTGATTCCAGGACATAGGCTGCATGTTGATTCCATGGATTACTCCCAAGATCAGTTGCGTCCAACAGAACCTGATACAGACCTTCTGGATTCTGCAACCTCATTAAGCAAAGGAAGGGCTGGTAATCAAATGGTGATTGAACTCATGAACCAAATTTCTAGATTGCTGCATAGTATCAATTATGCTGGTCTAGGATTAACAGGAAGCAAGCTAACTTATGCAAAGGATGTTATCTTGAATGCTGAGCTGTTGTTTGGAAACACGAGTCTTCTAAATTCTGGTGGAGTGAGAGACTTTCTTGTATCTCCATTTGTATTTGATGAACTTGAAGTTCTTGCTACTGCTATGTGGCCAAATTTTAATTGCCTTCTTGGGTTTGAAGAGACAAAAGAGGGTGCTCAGCTTAGAGGATTTCTTTTTGACTGTGTGATAGAATGTTTTGACGTAAAATATAGTCGGCACTGTAACTCCGGTTTCAAAGCTTGGATGAGATTGCCTTTACGTATGAAAGCAGAGATGCTGATTCGAGAGGTTGGGGAGGAGGTTATAAGGTGGACTCATTTGGCTGGTATGACTCCTGACGAGATAATAGAATGCGAGATGAGTCATTCCTTGGGGAAATGGACAGACTCTAATATAGAAGCATTTGAAACCGGTGCTGAAATTGGCTTGGACATACTCCAAATTTTGGTTGAGGAGATTGTGATAGACATCTGGGAGTGCAAACACTTCTGAATTTCATGAAGCCCCTCTGTTTTGTGAGTTACTTTTGTTAGGAAGATGGTATTTTTTGTACAAATGGATGGGATGGTGTTCATTAACAAGGGCTAATTGGATTTGTAGAGAGCATTTTATGTATGCATATGCTTTTCTTTTGATCATTTGATGTAACTTCAAAGTAGCCAAAGAGCTCTGAATAGTCTTTCCATTGGTGGTGAATGACTGAATGGTGATGAAAATCTTTTCAATTTGACTAACAAAACAATCGTTTGGGCTGTCAAGCATGATTATGTCTTTCACTTCTACCTTCTGATTTTTTATTAAAGCATTAATCATTTCGTCTTCATGTTTATAATATCAAACAATATCAGGAAAAATACAAGTAAATTGCAAATTGAAAATAGGTCTTCATTATATTATAATCACATGTAAACATGATTATATCATATCATAATCAGAACTTTACAATCTATCAAAAAAATATTTAAAAAAAAAAAACAATAAATTGAATCCGTGATCAAGCCCACCATTACAATCAAATCAACAACCATTAGAACTTCAAAAAAAAAAAAAAAAAAAAGAAAAAGAAAATGTAGAGATGAAGAGCAACAGAGCAACTTAGCCAAACATTGAAAACTGTCTACTAGCACCCAGAACAGTCCTGGCTCTACCATTCCCCCTCTATTTTCACCACAAATATCCTTCGAAACCCCCATGACAACCCCTTCAGTTCTCATACTCGCATAACTCTTCTCGCACATCACTCTTCTTCCTCCCTGCATTGCCGACTTACTCCCTCGTGAATTCGACAATTCCCATTCTTCTTGACCAATTCTTTGACGGAGGAGTAACTCAAGTGTCCCCGTCACGGCTTCCGATTCTCCTTCCGTAAGTCGCAGAAAATCAGGCACGACTGAGCCAAAACATTCGAAACAGAGGACCCTTTTCTTGAACCAGTCAAATTCGTTGAAACCTACTTGTTTCTTGTAAAGGCGATGGCTTGGCTCACAAACTTCAAACTTTCTTCTTGTTGTCTCTTTTTCAACTTCAACTCTCTCAGTTCCGCGTATTCGTATCTGGGTCCTCTCTCCATGAAATAATACTCCGGTAATAAGTTTCAGAGAAACCGGTGGGTTTGAGGATCAGAGTTTTGAGAGAGAAGAAGCGACTGGGGTCAAGTGAATGAAAAGAGAATGAAGAGTGGGGTTGTTTTGGAGAGAGCGTTAGTCTCTGCCATTTTTGTCGATCAAGTTAGCTCTGTTCTTGAAATTGAGAAGAAATTAATTTCTTTTGTAGTTCTCTCTTGGGCCTTTGTGTATTTTATTAAAATATATTTTTTAGTTTCAACGGTCAATAAAAAGAGGGATTGTTTTTACTTTTCTGTTATCTTTTATTTGGCGACATAACGTTCTTATTGAGGTGGGTCCGTTTGAAAATCATGAAAGGTTTAGATTCGTTTGAATCACATAGGATCTATACCGACCGTCGATTTTGTTGGACTTAATGATGGGTTTGGTGGGAAAGTGGAGGATGGTTCCTTAATATAGGAGCGCATGCGGGGATTTATGTCGTTTTGTAATAAAGAGACTTTTTGTCATGTCTGATTGGGGGATTTGTGTAATAGAATAAGTCGTTTTCCTAAGGTAAATTAGAGTCGCCTTCATTATATTACTGTATGGTTAGTTCTTTTTACTTGTGAGATGGCTTTGAGAAAAAGACGGTCAAGTTAGTTCTCAATGGCTTGAAATTAGGTCGCCTTTCATGGTAATCATTTTGTTTAGTCTTAATTTGAGATCTAATTACACAATATTGATGATCTGATAAGATGTTGTTCTTATATGGGTTTAAAAAACAGTGTTTTCATGTATTATTAGTTTGAGATTGATAAGAGCATTAAGTACTTCGATTAATGAATTAAGTAAAATTAAATAATAAACCCATTGTTTCTTGATTGATTAATAATAATTAAATAAACCAGTCAATTAGAGGTAAACGGTTTTTCCCTAAGGTTTCCTTAATGACACTTCCTAACTAAAAGTTTTCAATATACAACTTTCTCACTGAAAGTTTATATTCCGTTAATACAGAAAATACTTCACTTTTTACTGGCGTTCACATGGGTTATCAGGAGCCCGGGTGAATGAAGGTTTTGAAGAGTAAAAACCGATAGTTTGCACATGGTGGTGACTAATAAATATTCGCTATCAGAACAATAAAAATCAACTAAAAATAGAAAATCATAATTTTGCAATAACCGACAATCGACAAAAAATCAAGATCAAAAGTGAAGAATGTTTTAAGAAACGAGACCGGAAAGTTCAAAGATAATGATAGAGAAACTTTTTACCACCACAATCACTTTAGAGCATACAAAATATAAACTTTGGATGAGAAAATGACATTTTGAAACTTTTTGGGTGGAAAAATGTCATTAAGAAACTGAGAGTGGGAAAAGTGGTTTACTCTTTATGTTGTACTTTGTACTTGACAGGAGCAGGGCAGTGGCAAGGTGAAACCCCACCAAACCAAAAAAAAAAAACAAACTATACCGAAGCCTCAACACTATATGCTAATAATACATAGGAAATGAATTAAAAAATTTATCAAAGAAAAAACATTTGATGCGCCACTAGAGCAATTAAATAGTTACACATCATCTACATCACACAAGTAACATGGGAAACTACAAGAAAATTGATCTTTTGGCATCCCATTGGTCATACTTTGTGATACTTGTACTTCTGCCCCATATTAAATCTTGTGATGTTGCTGCTGAATCCGTTGAGCACCAACGACCTCACTGCCTCAACTCCTTGTTCTAACGCCGCATCGATCTGTCCAAAATAAAAATCCATAAATACAATCAAGTTAGCAATGAGTGTTGTGTTTTTGGGGTTGAGCATTTGTGTGGCATTCGCAATCAAATCTGTGAATAGTTTGGCAATTATGTCAACCTGCCATCTTTGCATCTAGACAAACCCTCTAATTGAGTAGATCGAATTTCTAGTAGATTATTCTCACAGGATCTGAAACTAGTAAAACAAACACAGGGACACAATCAACATAATTCTAAACATGTGACTGTGTTGTCAACTTTATGGCTTATACAGGGAGGCTGCAGTGGATGGACCAGAAAGCAACTAGACATGGTTGTCTGAGTAGACTTGGAACAAGGATTCAAGTGTCAGCTTAAATCAACCAGCCATCACTGACTATGTCACACTATCTAATAGGTAAGACATCAGCAAATATATCTTCAAGGTCGCATTGGCAATTGTATACCTGTTTCTGCTCCACGGAGCTGAATTTCTGTAGAAGAAAAGCTTTCATGTCCATATTACCAGGTGGATTTCCAATTCCTGTGACATGGAAAATTTTGAATTTAAACCATGGAGTACAATCTTCAATATCACCAGATAAAAAGGAAATAACAAAGGAGCAGTTTTTTTAAAAAGAGAGGCCTGTAAAAGTGATGGTAACCAATGAACCAACCTATACACAATCGGGGAAAGTCACGACAACCATCCAAATGTCCCATAACACTTTTCATCCTGTAAGACAAGAGAGTAGTAATTACCAATATTTACAAAATTTATCATTGTAGAAAAGTATCATCTTGAGCAGGGGCTTCTTAGACACATGAACAATACAGCAATCTTTATGACAGTATCATTCATGCAGGAAATTAAAGCTGGACCAGGCACAGCATAAACATTAGTAAAACATGTGTAACAATTGATATTCAGATAATATACCCAGTGTGATGGCCATGGCCTCCCTTTGGCTGGAGTCGCAGAACACCATTCATCAGACTCATCTCATCGTAAATCTACTAGGGCAAGTCCCAGAAAAAATTAAGTCAAAACACCGTACTAACTGCACAAAGCCATTTAATTTCTTTTACAGAACTTGGAGGTTGATAATGCATACCACTAAAATATGACGCAAGGGTACTTGATAATGAGCAGCAAGTGGCCCAACCTAACAATAGTCAAAAGAAAGAAAAAGTTACAAATAGAACTGGCTATCATAAGGCAGCAAGAGCTAAATCATGACAAAAAAATTCACTTATAAGCCCTATAAAAAGCAGACAAGGAAAAGCACAGGAAAATTTGAGTAAAAAATATGAATCACTTAACATCCACAATGAAAACTTAATAGATGATAATCATTATGCCAAATCAACATCAAGACATACTTCAATAACTTAGTACCTACCACTTAAGAGGTGTAAATTCTCAAAAAAGTAATAATTTCTTATTACTTTCTGGGGAATTAGCAGTGTGTGGTATATAGGCAGAGATAACCTATAATCAGATCGAACCCGCTCATAAAGATGCCTCAGTACCAACCACAAATGAAATATGGATGCCCTAAAAATATTCTTAAAGCATAGAATAACCTAGCATGCAGAGTCAAATCAAATGTCCAAGTCCTAAGCCCTTCTGCAAATTGCTATTTACACAAGTAAAACAATCTAGTCACCATGGAATTCATTGGAGAGCTGGAATTCAAAGATGAGAACTCACCGATTCCCCACTGAAATTCATGTATGCCTGAGGTTTTGCCAATAAAATTGGTACTTCGCCAATGGAACCTGTACTGATCATACAAAGAATCTGAATAAACAACTGAACAGCAAGTGAATCTTAACAGCCAAAAAAGTATAGTCAAAAGAAAATATGGAGGAGGAACTGAGAAACTAAAAAAATACAACTGAATGAGAACCTATTCCAATTAAAGCCTTTGATTGAACTGTATTCATCAGTACTCCTTGGGCTTGAGCAATGTGATCAATCATTTCAAAACCAACCTGATACAGACTACCTCAGATAATCACTAACAGAAATGGGAAATAAGAGCTAAAATATTAAATGATTTTGGTCAATTACATTGTGCCTGGTTCCGTGGTACTTATTCCCAGGGTTACCCAAACCGACAATCAACCAAGGTGTGTACTCCACCTTAAATCTACCATTTTCATCTGGCAACGAAGCACGCACACAAAGTTTTGTTGAAACTAGACGCTTTTGAGGAAATTGAGGAATTCTTGGACAGAAAATACAAGTGTTAGGGGCAGAGACTGCATTCAACATTGACCTGTTTACAGAAAGAACACACTATTAACAAGAAAGTTACATAACAATATATAAACAACCATATATAAGTTTCATTAAACTTCTCTAAGATTTGTGCTAACTACTGGTAGACACCCTTGGTTTAATGAATGGAAATTTCCCTTCTTAAAATGGAAAAAAAGAAATTATTTAACTTAGCAAAGTAGTTTTGTTAGGCATGGTTCAATTGTTTGTGAAACGTACTGAGAAAATGAAACTCAATAATTTTTTTTCATTCCAAAAACTTCTACGAAATTGAATATGGCCAGGAGGAAACTCGCGAACTACTCCAAACAATGATAATAACAAGCTTATATTACTTGGTTGAAGCTACAAGGCCTAACTAACAAACCATAAAACATTGGGGAACTAGCCTGGAGAACATAACATATATTTAAAAAAAAAACACTTTTATGCCATTAAATGCTTAAAAAAGAAATCATGTCACATTGAACCCAGTAATGATAACACACAAAGCTGAAGTGCAAAAATTCAAATTAGAGTAGAAAATGAGAAATAAGAAAGAAACCCACATCATGAACTCAATAACTCAATGAATGAAAAAAAGAACTGACCTCTTTCGTTTTAAAAGACGTCCACTTTGATTCGAAGACGAAGTATTGCAGAGCTCAGTTTGAGTTTCTGGGTTGTTCGTGCAATCGTGTCATGGATATTTGGATCCTTTGGAGGATAAAATTTCTATCTTTTTACTGGGCTTAAATTGGGCCTTCATTTCTTCGACTCATATGGCCGATTTGAGCTTTAACTTTTCTTTCATCCGATACCCACCCAAAAAAAAATAAAATAAAATTTGGTTAAATATTATTGATAATGTTAATCTTTGTGTTATATTGATGTGATAGTAAATTAGTATAACAAGAAAAATATGCATATTTGAGGGTTTAATACTTTATAGAAACCAAATTTTGTCATATGTTATATGTAAACCTTAATAAATAATATAAGGTATATTATCATAATAAAAATAAAATAAAAAAATTAGTAAAGGTAATTGATATTGTGAGTTAACGACTTTTTCCTATCTAAATAATGACTTAATGATACTTTCTCACCCACAGACTTTTAAAATGCAATTTTATTACCTAAATTTATATTTCTGGTGCGAACATAGAGTAAACTCGATCTAGGTTATTAAAGCTTTTGAAGATGAGAGGCCGATGAGTCTTTTGGTTGTGAAAGGTTGGATTTTGATGGTTGAGATTGATCAAAATTTGACTTGGGAGGGGCGACTATGCAAATCTTAATCACTCGATTACCGGTGATTGGTGGGTCAGCGGGAGTATGGTTTGAGGGGTCTCGGAGGAAGAAAATTGTGGTGGTATGGGGTCTCAACTATGTTGAAATCAGAAATATAATATAAATTTGGATAATAAAATAGTATTTTAAAAGTATGTGAATGAAAAAATGTCATCAAACCATTATTTGGGTGGAAAAAGTTCGTTTACTCTTGATATTGTTTGCATTATTTTTCTCATGAATGCTAGCGCTCTCATGCCACATAAATCAGCTGAATGTTGTAGATGTGAATTGATTATAATATTAACTAATTAAATTATATATATAATATTATGTCACTATTAATTAAAATTAACGTGTAGTTTGAACTTACTCTTGTGATGATGCAATGCAAGTATATTTGTTAATTGCCAGTCACGGTATACTTGCAATATTTTATTATTATTATTATTATTATTATTTTTATAGTAGAGATGTCCAGACTAATTTATATGCACTTTAACTAATCTCTTAGGATTCTGAAACTACTAGTTAGGAAAGAGCTTTAATAGTTACCTTTATTAGCAACTGAGGAGGGATTCGAACTCAGAACCTCTTGAGTAATAATCTAAAAGTTCCTATCAAATCACTTGACCATCCAAAAGTAGTTCAATAATTTAGTTAGAAGTAGAGGAGTACAAAAGCATTAAATCATCTATTTCACCATTCTAAATTTGTAATAGAGTCGGATTATAACTAATTAATCAACATGTAAAATTAATTTGCTCTCCAGAAAATTGAAAAGAGGTTAACCATTTAATTAACAAAAAGTTAGAAATCGGAAAGATTTTACATGCACCAACACTCTCCATTAATTTGACTTTGTGATTAAAAATTTAAGGCACAGCCGGCCCAAGACCCAGATGCAAATCCAACGCTAAACCCCTAGACCTATCATTGACCGCCGGCACCGGAGGAGTCGGCGTCACCACTTTCACATCCTCCCCGACGCGCCGCCTTCCCAAGCCAGAGTTTTTCCTATTACAAGGATTATTATAAGCACTACCATATTGACGAGGCACCAGCAATGGCGACACTACAGTGCTGTTCCCATGCAACACATAAAACGACGAGGAATGATACTGAGGCGGCGGCGGAGGAGGAGTTGCCACCGGTGCCGGAGCAAGCAGGCGGGGGAGTGACGTGTAGGGCCGTAACATGGGGTCCTGGAAATGCACCGAAGACACCACAAGATTCCGAGTGGCTTGCATTTGTGCACGCTTTAAGAGCTGCCTCTCTTTCTTGTGCGCGTTTTGATGGCCACCCAACGCTTGAGAATTTGCAAATTCGCGACAACAATATTGACACTCGTATTTACGAGTCATTAAATTATTGTTATCGTTGGATGGAAAAGAAAAGTCGTTGAATTCAAGAGATTGATCATGATCAATCTGACGAGTTTTGTTACTAATGTCATGATCTTCTTCTGATGAAAGGTTGAAACCGAAGAGCTTTAAGCTAGTTGGGTTATTTGGTTTCGTTTGGTAATGATCTATGTCGGCCATTTTTAGCAGTTGAGAAAGGAAAATTATAGAAGTCTTAGGGAAAATCAGTGAGAATATCTGTGATTACTTATGTTCTGAGTTGTATATATATAGAGAGAGAGTGAAGAAGGGTTTTGATTGATTTACAGGAAAGAAGAGTTGGTTGAGAAAATTCCGAAAGAGAAAAGAAAGCAAAGAAGAATCACGAATAATCCAAAGCAAGCAAACTAAGCAAGGCCTTTTCTAATACTCCGTATCAGTTTATATATACACTCGTACATAGAGATCTAGGCACAAACAGACAAGAAAATTAAGATAATACCCATTGGAAACGCTAAAATATTTATAATTAAATTGATAAAAAAAGTTTTCTATCACATAATATTTGATTAACTGTGTTATGTGCCCTTCACGGGGATTTGCATTACTAAAAAAGTCATATTTAATTGTTTTTCAATGATAGTACGGTTTTGTGGGGTTCCAGATTTGAACTCGGATGGAGATTTCTAGATTAAAAAAAAAAAAAAAAAAAATTGATAAATTATGTATTTAATCTGTTTTAGGAGAAGGAGATTATGATAATTCTGACAATTTAAATATACCTAATGGATCTATGGATAATAAAAGGAAACATATGAGCTACGTGTCAGACAACATATAATTGGATAGAGTGTTGATGCTTGAACTCAAAGACAATAGGACAAAGGGGTTAGTTCAGAAAAATGAAACCTAACATGAAGCAGTTGTTTCAAGTGAAAGACGGGATGCATGTTTTAAATTTGAAATTAATAAGATTGTAATTAGAAAGGGTCCACCATGACGATTATGTGGATATATATTAATGGTAACATGTTTGCGTGATTGACGTTGAGTTGTAGCTTTTGTTTATAAAGAGAAAATCTTCACGAATCTTACTAACTACCATTAATCAACTATACTTAATTTCAAGTAATTAAGCCGCATCTCATCACCACCCTACCTTCTGACTTGAGTCCTTTCATTTCCCTATCTACATATTTTTTTTAAAACTATTGTCTTATGTTGTCCAATCTTAGTTCATTCAATTTCAAAGTATTTTATCGAAGGGTTTGAACTTTGAATCAGACAAACAAGTGTAAATATGTAATGAATCTTGCCGTCTTCATTGGATTCTGTTGTATTTGCATGTTTTTCAAACAAAGAGAACTCTTGGTTTGACAACAATGGAGGCATATTAATTACAGTGAAAAGGATCATTATAAGTGCACATGTGATGTGAACGGAATAATAATTGATCGATCTGCAACTATTACTTGACAAAGTCTTTTTCCTTCCTACCAATATAATAATAATAATAATAAAACTATGAATTTTCCTGGAGAGTCTCTGTTCATGCTTTTAAATCTTGTGATTGATTCAAATAATGCAGGTGTGTTCATATTGAAAATATTACCTGAATCACCAAACATGGGCCACTCATAACTTTTGCTTCGAAAAGGAATATATTTACTATATATGCTGCAATAATTCAAATATTATAATTGAAAATTGATCTCGTCACTGTAAAACAATAACCTGAAACGCTCAAGATTAAAAAATATAAATATATGCTTTCAAACCGATAGTTGATTTATACTTTTATTGATAATCAATTCGTTTAAATGAAATCCTTAGTTGCTTACTGAGTTTTATATATATTTATACAATAAATGGAGTCATGATCAGAAAACTCTATTTTTTTCCCAAGTGTTTCTGTCCCACTTCAGTTAATTGGTAGAGTTCTGGTGATGTTATCTCTTAATGATATTATAATTTGTAAATATCTCCCTTCTGGATAAGTGATAAACAAAAATTACCCAGAAAGAGGAAATTAGCAGTAATGGCACTATTATATTTATAACCATAAAGATCATACCATAAAACAAATAAAAAATTGACTTCTTAGGCACTGTTCTAACGTGAGAATCTTTCAAAATAGCTGAGTAGGTATAAGATTTCAGAACCTGAAAGACTTACCTAAACATGAGACAAAGTCACAGCTACATGAATAAATTACAAGTGTATAGCTTGAAACTGCAGGACAGAAGTCTGTATTCTTTATACTATTTGCAGGAAGGTTAGATTTGTATGGAGTGTGTCAACATCTAGAAGCGCAGAAAGATGTGTTTATTAAGTAAGTAGTTTGGAGACTTTAGACAAAGAGATGGATTAATTAATTAAACAATCATGGATGTAGAATTGATTGGGATTGCTAAAAAAAGTGATCAAGATCAAACAGTTGGACGGCCGAAACGAAAGGATAAGAATGAAGACAAAGAGGGGCAAAGACATTATAATAAAGTTCTGTTTGGTCAAGATCAAAGACAAGGTAATAAGGTTGATCGATTACTTGAGAAGGGAAGCTTAGATAAACTAATATGACTGAAAACTTGGAGGTCCTTGTCTTTCAAGCATTAATTAGATGCAGTTTGTCTTGAAAATGGTATGCACAAGCTCTTTTTAGTTTAGACTAAGCAACTGAAGTTTTCTAAGTATAGAAGAGATCTACTACAAGAAGCTTCTAAATTCTAATGGAGTTCAACATTGGATTCGCCTTTACCTTTTAATAATCTATCATTTAATGAATTAAATAGCTACTATGTTTATATTACTTTCTCTAATAATTTAAGTACTTTCTTGAAAAGTAAACAACTTTTTCCCACCCTTGCAAGGTTTGCCTTATAAGGACACTTTCCCACCCCTAAAAAGTTTCAAAGTATCACTTTCTCACCTAAAGTTTATATTTCGTTAATATCTAAAATGCATTTCACTTTCTCAACCAACGTTCGACGAGTTACCAAGAGTCAGCGTGAGAGGAGTTTTGTAGAGTGGGAGATTGGTGGATCGAATATTGATGACTGAATGAATATTCGTTGCCGAAAATCAGTTAAGAATATGAAACTCTATCTTTACGGTGGCCAGCAATCGACAAGAAATTAGGAGCCAAACTGAAAGGAGTTTTATAGAGAGGAGACTAGATGTTCAAATGGTAGTGACCGAGAGAATTTTTGCCGTCGAAATCAGCTTTGAATAGTAACAGAATATTAACTTTGGATGGAAAAGAGGTATTTTGAAACTTTTTGGTGATGTCAATAAGGCAAACCTTGGGTGGGAAAAAGTCATTTATTCTTTCTTGAACTAAGAAAAAAACACTTACATAAAGTTTAAAAACAAATCTACACGAAAAAGCCTAAAATTCATACCATCTATTAGCTGCAAACTGTTGTATACATTATTGGAAAACCAGGGTAGACTGATTTTGCATCATTCCCATTTTCAATTTTATTTTCTATTAATTTTCATTTCATGCTTTTTCTTTTTGCCTTGTAAATTTATGCTCATATTTCATGATTTCTGGGCACATGTCCTAAAGCACTAAGAAAATATAAGTTTGGGCCTAAATGGCATATATAATGAAGGCCCAAGAAGTAATCGCCGAACAGGAAAACACTGCTGAAGGCCTATTCTGAAAGCACTAAGCCCAAGATCAGTAGGTGTGCCCATAAAATGCAACAATGTAAATCAATTTGGTGCGACCATACCAGCATTAATGTACCGGATCTCATCAAAACTCTGAAGGTAAGAGTGTATGGGCGGGACTGTGAGAACACTATTAGGATGGGTGATCTCTTGGAAAGTCCTCGTGTTGCACCCCTAAAACAATCACCATTAGGTGATGATCTGATGATAAAAGAACAAAAAGAGGTTTCATAAGCTTTTGAGTTAATTCTTCACAAATGCTAATATGGGTGACCATTAAAAAGCTTATCTGGCCGTTAATTTTAAGGTTTTGAGGGATTAACTGAGGTGTATATAAATTGATCTGGATACACTCCGGTCTCCTAAAAACAAAAAAATGTAAAGCAATTCGACCTCTTTGATTGCTTATTCTGTTGGAATCATATTACAAATCTAACTTGTAATATAAAACTTTACGTCAGATTTTAACATGCCCTTCAGGTTGCCTCTCCAACTAGCTCCAACAGAAACGACTGCCGACTGGGGTATACACAAACGTTGTCCACATATGGAGTTGTATTTTCACCTTCTTTTCTTCACAATAATGACCAAAATGCAATAATCATCTGTAAATCAATTGGAGTTGTTCGGATTTCAAATCAAAAAGAAAGAGGGCATTGTTCGCCCAAGTCACTTTCAAGTTTAAAATGTTTGTCCTCTTGGAAACTGGAGGCCCCATGTCTCACCACTTAGTCTTTGCTCTCATGCTCGTTTCAGAATAGTCCTTTCCCTATCAAAGTTTCAAATAGAAGGGCTTTGGCAGTTGAGCAAAGGGTATTAAAAAATTTAGGAAAGTCCTAAGTTCGATAGAGACGCTTAAGTAGTTAAAGTAGTTCGATAAAGATTCTTAAATACATTACTCAAAAGGTTTTAAGTTTGAATCTCTTCTTGATTGCTAATAAGGGTGATCATTGGACTTTTATTTGCTCAATAGTTCTAGGATTCTAGGAGTTAAATTGAAGTGTGTGTAAACTGATTAAAACTTCTTTGATAATAATAAAAAAAAATATTAGGATCGGACTTCTGAAGAATTAATTGAAAATACATATAAGTTAGTTCAAATACTCCGCTCATTTAAAAAAAATAAAAATAAGGAAAGTCTAAATGACTTTCTGTCAACGTTAAACCCAAAATAAAGATCTAATTAAGATTATCACATTAATATTGCATAATTAAATGTGTGATAAGAACAATATACAATAAAACGAATAAATGATCCAATGTTTATCGGTGGAAACAATGTGGCGAGACCAGAAGCCGAATTACTTTTTGATCTTTATCTACACTATAGGAATAAAATATCAGAAGGCGAGGAAAGTCCAAACTGAGCACCTAGAACCAACCACACACAATCAGAACCCCTCTGCCCCACATGCATCCACGACATCACCAAATCTAATCCAAAATCCCACGTAATCGTCCGATAAATCATTTCGTTTTTCCCAATTTGGTTTTTACTATCCGAACTGAAACTTAGACAGTAAAAAAAATCTTTATAATAAAATAAAAATAAATTCATTTGATTCCAGAAACTAATAGAATAAGAGAATTGAATTCTCCACCAGCTTTGTTTTTGATACACTCTTCACTCTCCCAACGGAACTTCCCAAGCTCGTCTCTCAAATATACACAGCAATCTCATTTCTGTTTGTTTTGAAGCAAATCTTCTGATCGCAGGTTTCAATCTGAATCAGAGACTAAACGGTTGCGTATTTACTTTCTGTTTTCTTTTTTTCCTGTCAATACTATTATTTGTAATTAATTCTTTCCTTTTTTTGTACTTATTTTGACTTTTATGGTATGTTATTTGAATTTCTTGGATCAGACGACAATGCAAGCGTCCACGTACGCTGTCAAACCGAGTGTAGGTTTTGAGGCGCGAAACCGGAGGAGAGTTTCTGCTTGTTTTGGTGACTTTAAGGGCGGAAACTTAGCTTTGAATGGTAGTATTGATAAGAATAATAGTATTTGCATGAGAAGTGGGACCGCTTGCTGTGGATTGCGTCTCGACGCGGCTACTATGGGAGCTGAGCTCACGCGTGCGAGATTTGGTGTTGAAAGTCTGTTCAGGTCAACGGCTAAGTCACGATCAGTCAGAACGCAGGCTACTGGTTCGTTTGATTCTCAATCGTTTCGTTCAATTGATAGATTCTCTGTTCTGCGTATTTAATTGATGTCTTTGCGTTAGGAATTGGTTCACACGGTGTGTGGTTATCATTTGGAATCAGTGGTGGCTAATTCGGTGTTGTTTACTTATTTGCATTTTGTATGATAAGTTTTAGCTGATTGTTTAAGTTCTTGTCCATTGTCTATTGATGTCGGTGAAAGAAGTGTTTTTATGCCTTGTTTATAGGGGAGAGGGGTTTATTGAGCCAATGACCTACAGGCTACGAGCCATATGGTTATTGAAAAAACTTATGAAATTTGAGTTAAAAGGCTGATGAAGAAAAGATGATAATGCTCATAAACATTCAATAGTGCCTTTAATTTCTGTACAGTTTGAGAATATTTTTGTTATTTGTGGGAGTTAGACTTATGTTGTTGAGTTGTTTGTTTCGGTAACTTAAAAGATATTTGAGTTATTTCATATCACCTGTTAGGTTAGATGTTTAACGGTTGATAACTTTGTGTAGATTTCATTTACTGGTCCTAGTTATCAACATTCATACTTTAAGGCAATAGACATAATATGCTCACACTATTTTTATATTTGGATGTATCAACATTGTATGCATGTGATGCCAGATCTTTCAGAATGTAGTTCTTTAAATGATTGAATGTCATCCTTAATATGAAGAAGTCTTCAAATTTAATCGTGAACAATAGTACTTGTATTATATTTATTCAATTTCTATATTTGATGAGTAGCCTATGAAAATGGATTACAGATGGAGACATTGAAGAAGTTACTCCTATCAAGCATCAGGAGAAATCTTCTGGAGTAGTCTTGCCTTTTGTTGGGGTTGCTTGTCTGGGAGCTATTTTGTTTGGTTACCATCTGGGGTAAGGCTTTGTTTAACTTGGAAATGACATTCTTTTTTTCTTTTGTTATGGAGTTATAATTTAATAACTTCGAATCCTTACCATACTATTTATTCAGTGTGGCTGTATGATCTGTTTTGGTTACATTTTGAATTTTAGTTGTGGAGTTTTAAGGCAAGTATTCATAGTTATAGTAGACTAGTAGTATATCATTGAACTTGTTCATGTGCCGTGTATTTCACTGGTTCACTGGTATTTTTTATTACTTCAGGGTTGTAAATGGCGCCCTTGAATACCTTGCCAAGGATCTTGGTATTGCTGAGAACACTGTCTTACAAGGCAAGTGCCATAAATTGCTTAACTAAATATCCCAATGGAAGTAGATTTGCATAATGAAAATGAAAATGGAAAACAGAGTATTCAAAATGAATTCTGGTAGTTTCAAGCTATAATCAAATTGTTACTTTATACTTGCTACATATAATCTCTGTAAATCAACACCCCCCTTCTCTTTTTTTTTTGTTTTGTTTTTCCTTTCTTTCAAATTTTAAGATTGTTTTATACAAACTAATGATTAGCTGGCTTATATTATTTTGAGTAGGATGGATTGTCAGCACACTACTTGCTGGTGCCACTGTTGGTTCTTTCACTGGAGGAGCATTGGCTGACAAGTTTGGCAGAACAAAGACTTTTCAATTAGATGCAATCCCTCTTGCAATTGGAGCAATTTTATGGTGTGTCCTTTTTCGTTCATTCACTTGGTAGTATTGAGCCCCCAAAATAAATAATTTCTGGAGACTGATGCTTCAAATTGTCAAATGTTATCAGTGCTATGGCCCAGAGCGTACAGACTATGATAATTGGTCGCTTACTTGCTGGCATTGGAATTGGCATCTCGTCTGCCATCGTACCACTTTACATATCTGAGGTAATATATGTTTATGTGTATATTGTATATTGTATACTGTATAATTTTTGGGAAGAAGAACATCCTAACAGTATCTTTATTGCTTAGATCTCACCAACTGAAATTCGTGGTGCCCTTGGATCTGTAAACCAACTTTTTATCTGTATTGGGATTCTTGCAGCTTTGGTGGCTGGATTACCTCTAGCTGGAAACCCTATATGGTAATTCTCCTTCCATTCTTTGCCTTTGGTAAACATTATTGACCTCCTTGAAGTTAAAATCAGGCTGACTTTTTAGTGGTTCACGAAATCCATGGGATATTTATAATCATCCCCTGGAATTTGTTTGGAACCTTCCTTGATGGTTTTAAAGAAACCAACTGCGTCTGCTCGATTTTTTATCTAACTTTGGGGCAGGTCATTGTATTGCTATTTTGAATCAGGTGAATCAAATCACAATAGCATTTTAGTGAACATTATTATATTATACAGTGTCGGACCATCTTTTCATCTCCTGGATAAGTTCTAATGCCTATTTAGAATTTTGGGATGGGCATGTCATTCTGCTTCGGAGGTTTTAAAAATAGTGAATATGTCAAACAAATATCAGTTTTAAATTGGCTCAATATCAAAATCTGATCTCTGAAAAACTTTCCTTGGTCAAATAAGTTGATGTTCTACATGTTATTCATCATTTGAGCACCAGGAAAACAACAGTTTTAAAATTTGCTTCTTGGAAAATAAGAGTGATTGGATTTACAATTTAGTATTTGTAGTTAGAGATCCTATATGGTTTGACTTGTTAGAGATGTTCAGCATGATTTCTTTTCCTCAGAATAGGCCAATAAACCTGTTTCCTTTATAAGGATAATTGACTATTGTGCTGCAAAAATTCCTCTAACGAACTTGTGGATTAGATTGTGGGTACAATGTAACAAGATACACTAAAAGTACCACCTCTCGGTGTGGCGATTTAGATGGAAATTTTTTGAACTTGTGCATAATATTTTTACCAGCCATTTCTAGATGTGTATTGTCATTTTTTTAATAAATACATCTGAGTTTGTAAATAATGCTTATATGAATTTGCTCTTGTAAATATTGTTGAGGGAAAAAATTTCAGCCATCTTTAGTCAAAATTTTGTTTATAGAAAAAAATTTGAAATTTTGTGAAAAAATCTGATTTAGCTGTGTGTTCTTTTTTTTTTTTTTTTTCTTTTTTTCTGCAAAGAATTGTAATGTGTTGCTAGATTGTTGAAGCTTTGCAGAAATTAAAATTTTTCAATGTTCGATTTAGGATTTGAATATCATATTGACCAAGAATATATTGGTTTGGAGTTTATTCATTAGTCATTTAAATCAATTGTTTTCTTCTAAATTCTCCTCTGCTTCAATTTAGTTCTTTACTATGTTTATCTTCTTATGTTCTCTTTATGTATTTGTAGGTGGAGGACAATGTTTGGTATTGCAGCTGTACCATCTATTTTATTGGCACTAGGAATGGCATTTTCTCCAGAAAGCCCCCGGTGGCTTTTTCAGGTTTTCTTGCAGCCTGTCTCACAGAATAATATACTCTATTTACATTGCCAATGTATTTCTCTTCAGCTTTAAATATCTATCAACTTAGGGCATCTATTTTGCAGCAAGGAAAGATTTCTGAAGCTGAAAAAGCTATAAAGACACTATATGGGAAGGAAAGAGTTGGTGAAGTTATGCATGATCTAACAACAGCAGGTCAAGGGTCTGCTGAGCCAGAGGCGGGATGGTTTGATTTATTTAGCAGTCGCTATTGGAAAGGTATACCTGAAACTCATTGAACAGAGCTTTTTGTTTGATTTTAAATGTCAAATATGGATCTTCTTAGGCATTGTGGTTAGGCTTTGTATTTGTACCCTGCTGCAAGCTCCACCACTTGATGTGCCATCAGTTTGTTGTGGCTCGATTGTTTCACAGAATCTGATCTTATTTGAATATTGATCTGTTTGAAGGAATAAAGTCTAACCTAATGTTTTGTTCTCTTGGATGTACCGCATAATGGTAACAATTGCATGAATGACATTTATAAACACTGGATCTTTCACATGAGGTGGATGGACTTTTTGAACTGTGAGGTCAAGTCCCAACAGCCCCCTGACCTCATAAAGCATTAGCAATTAGGTGATTCACGGATGTTAACTGAAACAATAGAGCTCTTATTACTTAGTGGTACCAGTGAGTTAACCTTAACGGGAATAGTGCTTAAGTCATATATTACTAAAACATATTTGAACCTATAATATTATAACTTTCTATGCCTTGATGCCTTTTCTGATTCCTATTTTTTCATGTTTGTGGTGACTGATACTTTCTGGTATAACAAGGCAAAAGTTTTCTTCCATTGCCTAACATATGCCTTGCTGCAGTTGTGAGTGTTGGTGCATCACTTTTCTTGTTCCAACAATTGGCTGGGATTAATGCCGTGGTGTATTATTCTACTTCTGTGTTCCGTGCTGCTGGAATTGCATCTGATGTTGCAGCGAGTGCTCTTGTTGGTGCATCAAATGTCTTTGGTTGGTGATTTGTTATAGTTATTTCGGACAATTTGGGATTTTTTCTATTTTCAAAGTTTGCTTACACTATTAAGTATGGCTCACATGTGCTCTTGCAGGAACTGCTATTGCATCCTCTTTGATGGACAGACAGGGAAGGAAAAGTCTTCTGTTGATCAGCTTTGGTGGAATGGTAGAGTTGTTTACTACCTAGCTGTTTATTCCCCGTAGGCAAGAATATATATATATATATATATAATGTACTGATAATTTATACTATAATCAACAATATAGCACAATTTTTTTTTTAATATACTTTCCCCTGTGTCACTACTCACTAGGGGAAATCTATTCATAAGGTCTAAGTTTTCTATCTTCATGTAGATTATGGCTTATGTTGAATGTGATAAAATATGGTTGAAGATCAAATATGTATGTATATATACACTCTTGAAGTAGAAAATGCTTACCAATCTAGATCTGAGGTTTTTTAACAAGGTTTCAGTTTTTAGAACTTGCATGTATCCACTCCCAAAATGTATATTAGCAATTAAATATGCACATTCCGTAATGTGAATTCACTCTCAAGATTCAATATAGATTTCTTGTTATGCCCGGTTTATTAGTTCTTAAACATGTGCATGTTAATTATGTGCTTGTCAGGCAAAATCAGGTTTCTCTCATTCTATCTGTTTCTTTCTTTGAAGTAGTGGTGTATGAATCTCTCAAATGTTAGTCCTCAGAAAGGTTTTTAGGATAATTTTTACTTGCATGGAAAACATGTTATGAAGTTTGACTTTATTCTTCCCCATATGCATACCAATACTTCATGTGTTTCACGGATTCTGGATAGGGGATCATATTTGCAAAATATTCTAACTCAGCTATGACTACTCTTCATGCTTGAATTGAAATTTAAGATTTAGTTAGTCGATGATGATAAAGTGAGAGTTGTCATAGTATTTATTTTGAATGGGCAGTATGGCTAACATTTAATAATACTGTCAATCTATGTTATTTTCTTTCTTTTAGTTAGCATGTCAGAAAATGTAATAACATTGGAGAGGATATGGTATACATCAGTTTTGGATGTTCTTTCATTACAATAATGCTATGCTCATTATTTATTTATTAAAAATATTTATTATCTATTAACTTACAAAATTTCTTTTTGTGCTCTCTCCCTTGGCTCTCACTTCAGGCTGCTTCAATGTTGCTGCTTTCCTTGTCCTTCACATGGAAAGTGCTGGCACCGTATTCTGGCACCCTTGCTGTCCTTGGGACTGTCCTGTAAGTTTACACTGTCCTCATTAGTAATTATCCCTCTTCCTGCTCCAGGAGCTGTATTCCTTTGAGACCTTAGCCTTGTTCTTGATATGCTCACTTCCATTTCCTTTTGCTAATCTTGCCCATGAAATCTAATGATGACTTTCATTCCATTAATGCAGCTATGTCTTGTCCTTTTCACTTGGTGCCGGTCCTGTGCCTGCTCTTCTCCTTCCAGAGATCTTTGCCTCAAGAATCAGGGCAAAAGCAGTTGCTTTGTCATTAGGCATGCATTGGGTAAGTCTTAAATGAGGGACTAGAATTTGTGGATTTCTAGCTTTTGAAGATGATTAAATTCTTTTTTGAATGAATCTATTTTCCCTGTAACTAATGACGTAATTAACCATGCTAAAAAGATGGGAAAGATGATATTTGATAAGATAATCAATTGACTTGAAATTGGCACATGCCAACTGCAAACTGCAACTTCTCACCCCTTTCATAATGGCTTTTCATGGTCAGATTTACATGCATATATATATTTGATTCATGAAATCATAGTCTGCCGTGCTTGGAAGAAATTGAAAGAAGAAAGATTTGGTGTCTCTGTCATTTTGTTTAACCATCAATTAGGCTGTATTAAATTCTTATATAGTAGTCTTCCATGTATTTACTCTCTCTTACACCTGGTTTTCTTTGGTGACAGATCTCCAACTTCGTCATTGGCCTGTATTTCTTAAGTGTTGTGAACAAGTTCGGTATCAGCTCTGTCTATTTGGGATTTTCAACCGTCTGTTTTCTTGCTGTCATGTACATAGCTGGTAATGTTGTAGAAACAAAGGGGCGGTCTTTGGAGGAGATAGAGCGTGCACTTAATCCAGTAATTTGATTCTGGTAATCTTGGAAGTTGCACATGGTAATAATCTCACTCGGGCTGACAAGTACTGACCTTAAAATCAGTAGCCTTTTTTTTCTTCTGTAGAGCTTCCCCTTATTCTGCTCAGACTTGGTAATGGATCGACTTGTTTGTTTGAGCATCGTTTTGCTCTGTTCTGCGTATATGTTTAAGATCAAATGTAACTAGAGTCCGTGATGTGTATGTTTCTGTTTAAAATCCCAGATATGAAGCGTACTGAAGGGTCTTTGGAGTTGAGTGATGTATACAGCTGAGATTTTTGTTCCTTTGTGGTTTTCCAATAATGATAAAATAGCCGAAAATAATCCAGCTAAACGATTGAGGATAAAATATAACCAATAAAAAACTTAAATTTTCAGCTCGTTTCAGTTTGCGTCAGCGCATTTTCGTCCAATTTTATTTTCTATAAGCAAAACATATTAACAGTAATTTTAATTTATCAGTTGTACTGAAATGCATCTCTTACTAAACAGCAGAATGGTGCCGGAACTTGAATATTTTGCGAAATGGTCATATGACAATTTGCTGCCGAGACGGAGGTATTATGTTCAATTGTTTCATACAACACTGCTTCAATATGTACACCAGGTATCAAGCATTCCCTCAAAACATTCAATCAACTATATTACTAGCTTCAAAATTGGAAAACCTTAAGAGTGTCCAGAGCGCCAATAAGGAAAGCTGCATTTTCATTGATCTGGTAATACCTACATGTTGGCTTTCCTTTCCCACCTTTCCTTGGTGTCAAGCCTATCAACAATAACAAAAAAGAAAAGAGTTAAGGTCATATAAAAAAACTGAAAGAACAATGATCCATGATGCAACATAAACTGGATGCTTCAGTCAAACAATTTTGAGATAAATCTTAGAATAAGTGTTAAAATAGAAAAGATCATTTACACTACTAATAATTTGTGGATTATACTGTTTTTCTTGTTTATTTGGTAAGATTATCGGATATTTCCCTTTGAATGTAGACTTGAATTGCTACTTAATTCGTTCATTTCATGTTTCAGGTCTAAAACGCATTTCCGGATTGAAACGAAGCAAAAACGGGGTCAATTGATTCAAATTCGAGAGTTTTCAGAGTTTAGAGATGTTCGGAGGTTGATTGGAAGGACCCTTGAAGCTTAGCGTAACGAGAAGGAAAGAGAAAATCGAATATTCAAGCGTTGGAGCATGCAAGGGCAGTTCTATAAATTCAAAAAAACGAAGACAGAGTTTCACCCTGGCAAAAAGCATTTTTGCTGCGACAAAAAACTCTCGGGTTTAAATGTGTTTTCACAGTTCGCCGCGGTGAATTCTGGAAAATTTTGTTTTTAAAAAACGGTGCATTTTCTCGTTTTAGTCTTAAGTCACAGGGTTAGTGGGCACTATAAAAAGAAAACTTAGCCCATATGAGGAGGTCAACATTTAGGCAAAGGGAAGAGGAAAAAGGGATTTGAAGAGTTTAGGTCTCCAAATTAGGAAAGATTTTGTTTCTCTTTTAATTTCTAACATGTTGAACTCTATATTTACAGTTTATGTAATGTTTTTCTTTATTTTGAGCATGAACTCACTCACTTTTGGGTTAGGGTTTTGATGTAACTTGGATTACATGGTTTAGTCTATAAATTTGTGTTGATTTTGAGTTCTATTGCTTGAATTATGTGTTTATTCTTGTACTTAATGCAATTGGATGTTGGGTTTTTGATTCAATTGAATGTTGAGCATCATGAGACTGAGAAGTGATTCATGTGTTAGCTTTTTAGGGTGAACATCGTGGATTAAGCGAACGCTAGAGATAAATTTAGCGATTTATGAAATTTTTATAGGATTTCACTTAGCTTAATAGACTTTGAACTATTAATCTTCATTTTGTTGGGTGCGGAAACTTAATAAGGATAAGTAGGAGAATATAGCCTGAGAATATATATTCTACAATTTAGAGAATTTGATTTATAATCCTTGCATGTGAATTTAAAAGCAATAAAAATTGTAGATTAAATTAAAATATCCTAGTGAAGTCGAAACCCTAATCTCTCTTGCCTTGAATTGAATTTGTGTTCTTCAATTAGCAATAGAATTAGGAAACTCAATAATTATCATGCAATCCTCATGGGAACGATACTCTACTTCATCATTATATTACTTTTTGCGATCAAAATGACAAAAGAGAAAAACTATGAAATAACAAGAAGTTGCCTAGAATTAATTGACAATGCAAGTCTCAAAAATTGTTGAAATAGTATTACGGGAAAATACTTAACACTCCAAGAAGTCATAATTGAATTGACTATCTTTCTCTATCATCCCCCTGAGTGAGTAATCCCCACTTCAATCCATCTTCCGACTTCCCGGATTATTTTATGCATAAATGTAAAGTTTATCAAATCGTGGCAAACTCCATAAGCCTAAGTATCGAACTACTCTCCACTAATGTGGACTAGACATTACTAAGGATCAAAAAGTCTTTGTTGGCTTGTATCGTTAGACTCGGGCAATGGACTCCAAAGAAAAGGATAGGATAACAAAGTAAGAGAACTCGGTTTCCTTAAGCAAAATTCTTATTTTTGTAACGGGAATGCATAAGTTGAAACAAGCATAATGAACAAACTATAAACAGTTTTTTTTCTTTTCAAAAACAAATTCATAACATCATTAGGGTCCATTGCCCCTTCCTCTTGCCCTCTTTCAACCCCCAAACTTATCTTTTTTTGGTTCATCATTTATTCACACCTCTTTCAGCTCTTTTATGCATACCTCCTAATTGTTTCTGAACACGCATGCATATGAATGAACACGCATCAACTACTTAAATGGTTCAACTAATAACATATGTTTATTGGGTGATAATGGTCAACAAAAGTAGGCGAAATGAAGATTAGAAAGACAACTAACTTCAGAAACCTTAACCATCTCACACACTCAAAATCTCCAAATGATCCCTCTACAGGCACTGAAACATGAGAAAACATGTAAAGTGCAGGTTGGTAGGGATAGGAAACACTGCCAGGAAGACTACTACATGTGTCACCCACTTAATGTGAGACATAAATTCAGATATGGAGGGGGAGAGAGATGTAGGTGTATGTCATGGTGAAAGATTTACACTCTACTCATTACAGTTTTACTCTCGCGTCTTACAGATTCAATGCATTTACAGCATTGAAAGGAAACAGTGAACTCAGGACAACCGAATTTCTCATCTGACTCTATATTTGCATATATGCATAGGAGTATTATAGACAAGCAAATCAGATCTAAGAATTCCAACTACCAGCGAAGAAATTAACACGAGTTATGTATTTCTATTTTGTATGCAAATAAAAAAATAATGAGCAACTAGCTAAATAGAGATCATACCCCCAAAAGAGTTTTTGGCGCTTCTTTGTAGCAGAGTCTGCTGCTACATTGTCTTGATGTGAAGTGGAATTGTTGTTCCCATTGCTTTTCAAGTTTGGAACATTTGAATATTCAATTGTAGTACTTGAAACTGTATCAACATGATCCTTGGAATCAAGGTCTTTCCCATGAGATTTGCTGGTCCCATATGCCGTTCCTACAATGATTTTAGATAGGTGACCCATATATCCCCCATATGAAAAATAAAAACCATGATTATAAAAAGACAAAAAGGTACCTTTTGATTTCTGATGAAACTTTGATTTTGATTTTGATTTTACTTGTAAGCGCTTCCTGTGCAGCTCCTGGCATTTATGGTAGTTCAAATATTTTAGAAGCAGTTACATAGATGCAAGAAAGAAAAACGAAAAGGATGTCCAAGAAAGCCAGAGAAGTGAACATTTAGCAAACAATATAACAAACAAAATAAGAAAATTTTATGAAAGTTTTCAGCATGGAAACATGTACAGCAGTGAACAATTACAAATCACTAACAAATAAAAAGAATCATTCAGTAACATTCTATTTTTCTAACCTCATCCGCATCTCAAACTCCCATGCCACGACCTTACAACATCTAAAGTTCAACTGGTTTTAGTTTAACTATTAGTTTTTCCGCAGCAAGTCTTATATTATAGCATCCAAGAATCCAGCTGGACTTCAAATCACTTGCAATTAATTGCAACAATCTAATACTTCAAAAGGAGCAATAGCCCTAAGCAAAGTTAACCTGTCACTCTAAATCCCAATTAGACAAATGCCAAAAGAGAAGCCCCACCAACCTCTTTCAGGCTGGTTCATCATTAAAAATCTGAAAACCAAGTTGAAGAGAGTCCTGCATAAATGCAAAATCCACAATGCTAAGCAATAAGAATTAGGCTCTAGGTTGTTTCGGGCTCTTCCTATAATTTTACATTCCACACATAAAAGAGAATCTACAGCCATATCTTGTGACCCTATTCCTATCTCGCGCAATTTCATTGAAACAACTCCTACGCCCTTTGTGCTTGTACCTTTAAACCTCACAAAATAATTTCCACCACGGAAAAAAAAAAAAGAAAAAAAAAAATCTCTCATATATATGACAAATTCAATATGCAATCATATAATAACGGACTTTATCAGTTCAAAAACATAAACTTGTAAGAGGAATGTACAAATACCAACCAGGAACTAGCTTCTAACAATTAAATTATCGAATTAAAATATCACTAAGCTATTGCATTGCTTATAGGGTCTCTCTCAAACACATTGACAAAATTCATCAATGATCATCAAGTGGGTTCCGGTAATTTGCAATAAACACTCAAGAATTTGAAGAAAAAGACAAAACTACATACACAAATACAAGTACAGATCGATAGGAGAGGTAATAAATAGAAGAAATTACTTGGAACTTGGAGAGCTGTTCTTTGGAGACACCTTTGGGCTTGCAATTGGGCTGTAAAGATTGGATTGATCGTATCGCCGCTTCTCTTCTTTCATCTTCTTCCTTGTCCATCACCTCCTCTTCATCTTCTCCCTTCTTCGTCTTCTGGGAAAGGATCGTTACAGAGCGAAACCTAAACGCTGCGTTTCGTCCAGGATTTTCCCACTAAATTAAGGACGCAGACGGCAGTAAAACCCTGCGTTAGCGAAATGGTGCGTTTCGGATGAGATCATTATACGGAAAATTTAGGTAAATAATATATATAAACGGACCTCACAATTTAGGTAAATAATATATATATAATCTCCCATTATATATAAACGGACCTCAAAATTTCTAATATTTCTATTAAAATTTTTTGGAATTCTTATTAAATCAAACCTTAAAATATATGAAAAATGTTAATAAATTATCAATTTGGTGGGGGGGGTTTTGTATCCAAAAAATACTCTCGACTGTAACACCCATTTTCTAAATATACTTATTATTACATTTTTTAAGAATTATATTCACAAACACCTTTTCATAATTTCAAAACAAAATTTTCTTATTGATACTTTTGTCAACCTTCCATTCAACATGTAGAATAATCGAGAAATTAACAATGACTTGATGGTAAATAGAGTAAAAAGGATTTAACATGGTTTTCTAAGTTCGACTCTCTTTGATGATAAAAGAGCAAAAAAATGATCTAACATGATTTTTCGAGTTCGAGTCTGCATGACTAAAAAAGCAAGATGAGGATCTAATATGGTCTTTCAAGTTTGAGTCCCCATGACCCCTAATATGAGTGACCATTGGAGTTCTTACCCGACCGATAGTTTGAAGGTTTTAAAAAATTAGTTGAAATATGCACAAGTTGATCTTGACACCTCGGTCTTAAAAAAAAAAAAAAAAAATTAAGAAATTAGGATACAATTATGTAGGTTGTGTTTGTTTAGCTAGTCTAACATTATCCTATCCTAAAAAATGAAAAATATGTTTGTTTTAATATTCTTCAAAATCTAATCATATTCTATTCAATTCAAAACATTGACAATTACTTTTCTTAATAAAAGTTTTAAAATTAACAAAAACACATTTACCTACCCAAGCCACTATCACTTGTCAATAGTCACTGTCGGTGTCGGAACAACTCACGACCGATTGGATCTAACCGATCGTACACTAATCTTGCCTTTTTCAGTTATATTTATGGCTAGAGATATGACCGTTGATGACGGCCAAATCTTAGCTGTCAAATTAAAAGGTTATCTTCATTTATTTATTTATTTTTCTTTCATTAAAGAAATATATCTGAGTTATACAGCATAATTATGATTCTTTAATTATGATTAAATAGTCAAATTCTCACTTCAGTTCCTACCGAACCCAGTTAAGCACAGGTATAACTTATACCATACGCAAATGANCCCTTCTTCATCTTCTGGGAAAGGATCGTTACAGAGCGAAACCTAAACGCTGCGTTTCGTCCAGGATTTTCCCACTAAATTAAGGACGCAGACGGCAGTAAAACCCTGCGTTAGCGAAATGGTGCGTTTCGGATGAGATCATTATACGGAAAATTTAGGTAAATAATATATATAAACGGACCTCACAATTTAGGTAAATAATATATATATAATCTCCCATTATATATAAACGGACCTCAAAATTTCTAATATTTCTATTAAAATTTTTTGGAATTCTTATTAAATCAAACCTTAAAATATATGAAATATGTTAATAAATTATCAATTTGGTGGGGGGGTTTTTGTATCCAAAAAATACTCTCGAGGTAACACCCATTTTCTAAATATACTTATTATTACATTTTTTAAGAATTATATTCACAAACACCTTTTCATAATTTCAAAACAAAATTTTCACATTGATACTTTTGTCAACCTTCCATTCAACACGTAGGATAATTGAGAAATTAATCTTTGATGGTAAAAGAGCAAAGGAAGATCAAACATAATCTTCCAAATTCGAGTTTTCTTGATGGTAAAAGAGCAAGAGAAGGATCCAATATGGTTTTCTGAGTTTGAGTCTCCATGATTAAAAGGGCAAGAGAAAGATCTAACATGATCTTTCGAGTTTGAGTCCTTATGACCCTTAATAGGGGTGGTCACTGGAGTTCTTACCCGACTAGTAGTTTGAAGGTTCCAGAGGATTAGGTGAGGTCTGCACAAACTGGCCTGGATATGTCGGTCTTAAGAAAAAAAATAATTAAGAAATTAGTATACAATTATTTAGGTTGTGTTTGTTTAGCTATTTTAACACTATCATATTCCATTATCCTATCCTAAAAAATGAAAAATGTGTTTGTTTTAATACTCTTCAAAATCTAATCATATTCTGTTCAACTCAAAACATTAACAATTATCTTTCTTAATAAAAATTTTAAAATTAATAAAAAAACCCCCACCCACCCAAGCCACTATCACCTGCCAGTAACCACTGTCGACGTCGGAACAATACACGACTGATTAGATCTGGTCGATCGTACGCTGATCTGGTCTTTTTCAGTCAGATCTATAACCAGAGATCTAGCTGTTGATTGGTTGTCAAATTAAAAGGTTATCCTTATTTATTTATTTTTCTTTCATTAAAGAAATATATATGAGTTATACAGCATAATTATGATTCTTTAATTATGATTAAATAGTCAAATTCTCACTTCAGTTCCTACCGAACCCAGTTAAGCACACGTATAACTTATACCATACGCAAATGATTAATATGAACAGGAAATTCAATATCTTGAATTCTTAATCCTAAACTTTGAGTTTAATTTGACCAGCACATTCTCCAACTATAAGTTCCAACTCATAAGAACCAAATTAATGGCTAGAGTAGTGGCTACCTTACCTACAATTATTTTTTTCTTATTTACTTTAAAATGGTTGACTTAAAGCTTTTGACATTGTCAATGCCTAATCAATTAGTTTCACTCGTCAAGCACTAAGGTTTATATTAGGACAATTAATTAAATACAAATTGATTAGTTAACTTACCTTACTTTCGGCATAATTATCGTCCCAATTAGTACAGAACCAAAATGCGCTGTCTTTACTTAGCTTAAAACACGAACCAATTAATTAATTGATTGAGTCAATATTGCATTACTCCATGCATGCTCTGAGTTCCAACTTTTTCTTCAATTGGTTTTGACTAAATCAACTAGGGTTTCTTTAATTGATGGCAAAACAACAATTTAGAAGCCAAACCCACATGCAAAAATGAGTACAATTGTGGGAACTTGCCTAAATATTCTCTCACTAGTCCTTGTGTTTTTGTCTAATAATATTCTCTTCCTAATCCTTCTTTTTATATAAATATAATCACTAGAGATATATGGATCAGTTTGTACGTATTTCAACTAATTTTTCAAGATTTTGAAATTATCGACTGAATACAAATCCCAATGATCCCCCCCAATCATTACCCGGGGATTGTCTCTAATATTATTTGCTTAATGCTCATCTCTTTGAATTCTTAAAGTCTACAGTACTTAAGATTTAAACGTAATAAAATATACTTCAATACGTCCTTTTAAGTAGTTTTGTACCAAATTTAGTTAATAATATATTAAAATTTTATACTTTATAGTATACTTTTCAGTCTTTGCAATAAAACACACGGTACTAGCTCACGTATTCCAACTATTATCAACTAGCTATGGCTTATTCGTTGTCAATTTAAACTCATATAATTATCTATCTCCCCTTCTCCTTCATCTCACCCATTAATGTCAAAAATGGGCAATGAGCCAAATCTATTCGAACCCCTTTCAAAGTTTGTAATTTCCCATTTGCAGTTTACCCATTTCGTTCGTTTTATGTTCTTTGTTATCGGTTTATCTCTTGGACTCATCATCAGTTTATATCTCTTCAACTTCTCTTTCACCATTCAACCTAGATTTCTTTTTTCCCCTGCCGCTGCACCAATATTATCTAACCTTACTAGAGACTCCTCAATTTTGCACCAAGAACAAAGATTGACCATCACGCACAATATGAGTGATGACGAGTTGTTTAAGAGAGCTTTATCAATGGCGTCAATAAGTCAAAACGCTTCTTACAAGTTTGTCCCGAAAGTTGCCTTCATGTTCTTGACGAAAGGGCCTCTTCCATTGGCTCTATTGTGGGAGAAGTTCTTCGAAGGCCATGAAGCTTTTTACTCCATTTATGTTCACTCACATCCTTCTTTCGTTGAAGATTTGCCTGAAAGTTCTGTCTTTTACGGCAGAAGAATTCCCAGCCAGGTTTTTCTTTCTTTCGTTAATTTGATAAGATTATCATACTGATCCTGAGATATTTTATTTTTAGTTTTCTCATTATTTTTATTCTGATTTCAGCCCGTTTATTGGGGGACTGCAACAATGATTGATGCTGAAAGGCGTCTCTTAGCAAATGCTCTCCTTGACATCTCCAATCAAAGATTTGTCTTACTTTCTGAATCTTGCATTCCATTGTTTAACTTCAAAACAATTTATGATTATCTCATTAACTCAAACCTAAGTTTCTTGAGCTCATTTGATGACCCAAGAAAGCCGGGCCGAGGTCGATACAACCCCAAAATGTGGCCCAATATAAACACCACCAATTGGCGAAAAGGGTCTCAATGGTTTGAGGTGCGCCGTGACCTAGCCATGCACATTATTTCCGATACCAAATATTACCCTATCTTTCAAGAGTTATGTCGCCCGCCTTGTTACATGGATGAACATTACATTCCAACATTGGTGAATATACTTTACCCAGAATTGAATTCAAATCGAAGTATTACTTGGGTCGATTGGTCGAGGGGCGGTCCTCATCCGGGCAAATTTGGGTGGAGTGACATTACTGATGAATTTTTGAATCGAATTAGGTATAGACCAAAATGTAAGTATAATGGTAATTCGACTTCAATGTGTGTTTTGTTTGGAAGAAAGTTTATGCCTAATGCTTTGGAGCCTTTGTTGAGGGTTGGTCCATTGTTACTTGGTTTTAATCCTTAATATATGATTTTGTTGCACATTATATTTATTCATTATTAAATTTTAATGCCTGACCTGTTAATTAATATTGTATAAATTCATAATTTAATTAAAATTTTATTTTTCTTCATGTTAACTAGAGATGTCATGACAATGAAGTATTGATTTATACATATTTGATAAGCACACTATAATCAAAAGTTAAAAGCACCCACTCACACGTCATATCACAACCTAATCTCATAAACTTTCTCTCATAACTTTGACATGATAACTCGCAATTGATTAGACAAAAAAACTTATCTGAAAACAATTGCGAGCTACCATATAAAAGTTGTAAAAGAAAATTTATAAGATTGAGTTGTAAGTATAGTATTGTTATTTATTTGAACGAAAAGTGTGTTATAACTGGCTTGAAAATATACGCTAACAGCTCAGAGGAGATATGCGTTTAGTTTGGTTTAACTTTTTGTTATTGTCGGAAGATGAAGGTCTTGGTCTTCTGCGACAAAGACTTGACCCCATAGTTAATGGCGTTCGTTTAGGGGCGTTTGAAAAAAAAAAAAAAAAAGATTTAAGTGGCTTGGAAATATACGCAAACAGTTACAACCGAGTTCCCACTTGCTTTGACTTCAGGAGATTCAAGACGGCCATTAAATTAACTCATTGCCCACCTGAACCGCTCGGATTTATTTCATGAATATATATACAGTCACTGTTATTCCACATTTAGCATTCAAAAGACTGGCCATGAATGTATTTAATCTCAAATTAAAATTCAAAATCTACAAACAAACAAAAACTCAACTTAATCAAAACCTTTTTTTGAACATTAATTAATCAATCTCTGATGGGATAACAAAATATATATGAAAGCCTAAATATTTCACAGATTAAGCATCTTTTGCTTGCATGACTTGAATTCCAATTCACATAATACGGATCAATGAAATGGAATTGCTATATGTATGACTGACATGACCAGTTTGTGAATTGCCAGATCCTATCACCCAGGACAGATGCGAATTTCAGCTCCACAAGTAAAATCTGAAAGGTGAACAGAAAGGGGAGTTTAACAATTCAGTATGTAAGTTGTGTGTACCATCATATTTCAAACTTCGTTGGAAAAAAATATATATGCATTTGAAGTTGTTCTATATCAAGAAGATTGGAGCACTCACCAAATTAACTTAGACAAGCAATTCAATTACCAGTTTCTTTATCTTCTGTATCCATATCTTCTGTTTGGCCTCTTAGCTTTCTTGGGTTGGTCTCTTTCAACCATCCTTACAAACCACTGTGGTTTTCCTGTTGAGATTTGAGAATACAATATATCCCATAGACAAGCCGAGCACCAATCCACATCCATATTCCATCAAACTGATTTTCCAGTCAAACCTGTTCGAGACATTGTGTTCTTTCGAGACCAAAATTGGTTTAGGCACTTCATTCATGACACATTTTTTTGACAAGGGTAATCCACACAACCCCAAGTTTCCTAAATAAGAATCATTTTGAAATGTATCAAATTGCTTTATGTTATAACCACTCACAGAAAGAATCAACCAAATAACAACAGATCAAGAATAAGAATCACAATAAACACACACAAGAACAACCAGATTTACCGTGATTCACTGCTCTATATTTGAGCAAGCTACGTCCACTTTGAACTCGAGAATCACACGAGCTCGCTGCACTAAATCACTGTCAAGATTACATATTACACACAGCAACACAAATCCCTCAAAACCCCTTCTTCAACCCGTAACTCACCCTAGAGATTACACCCTTCGAATCCCTAAATATAGTGTATTACACCCTTCGAATCCCTAAATATAGTGTATACAATACACCCAGAATGACTTGACCCATTCACTCAATCAACAAGTTACAAGATTCAATCAACCCAAATTGAAAACCCTAAAGACTCAAAATGGTGTTTAACGAAGAAGAGAGAGATTTGCAAAATGAATGAATGCGTAAACTGCCAAATAACTCTGCTTTTATATGGTTGACATTAGGGTTGAATTTCAGCTGTTTGATCTTCTTTTCATCAACGCTCAGGATTGTTTCTTTCGTTTAGATCAAAACGACGTCGTTCCATTTAAGTGCAAATACGACAGCGTTTCAAGCCATCATCCAACACTTTCCTTGAGGTATAGATCCCACAAGTTGGTTGTGTGAAAGATTTAACATTGAAAGAAATGTGAGATTTGTCAATTCTCTAGGAAGCTCTCCTACAAGCTTGTTGGAAGAGAGATCTAAAGCTTCAAGCTCTATCAAATTTCCAAATGATGATGGAATATGACCGGTTAAGGAATTGTGAGAAAAATTGAGATATTTGAGTGAATTAAGCTTTCCAACAATATCTGGTATTCGTCCCTGGAACTGACAAATCAATATTCGTTAAAATGGTTAGGATTCTCACCATTTCAACATCAATTTCACTGTCAAAACTATAGAATAATTAAGCTTTCCAACAATATCTGGTATTCGTCCCTGGAACTGACAAATCAATAATCGTTAAAATGGTTAGGATTCTCACCATTTCAACATCAATTCCTTTCACTGTCAAAACTGTAGAATAATTAAGCTTTTCAATAATATTTGGTATTCGTCCCTGGAACTGACAAATCAATATTCGTTAAAATGGTTAGGATTCTCACCATTTCAAACTGTAGAATAATTAAGCTTTCCAACAATATCTGGTATTCGTCCCTAGAACTGACAAATCAATATTCGTTAAAATGGTTAGGATTCTCACCATTTCAACATCAATTCCTTTCACTGTCAAAACTGTAGAATAATATTGACCATGTGAACCCATATATTGCGCCGCCCCACTGCTATTATCCCTGCTCATCATAGCTTTAAAATTTTTAAGATATGATGTTGGCAAATTGCCAGAATCTATTATGAGAAAGATCAAATTCGTAACATTGGGAATGGACATCTTGTATTCAAATTGCGAATGGGACAGTGAAAAACTAACGATCTCAACATAAGAACTTGTAGTTTTGGAAGAATGGCTACCAGTGAGGGAATGTATCATTAATCTTGTTATTTCCAACGTCTAGAAAATTCCAAGCTGCTACATTTAGCCAAAGATTGTGGCAATGTTCCCTCCAACTGATTGGAATTTAAGTTGAGAGTTGCCAAAGCACTGTTTATCGTAAGCAAGTTATGAGTCAACCAAAACTGGATGCCAAATTACGGATGGAGAATCATCTTGTGGGCCAGTCTTCACTGCGCTTGAGCCTAAGTTTTAATGCGCTAGCAAGAATTGTAAAAAAGTATAGCAAATGCAGTGAGTCTGTATCATCATGAACATGGATGATCAATAACGGTGTGTGTGTGTGAAACAGAATTCAAACCTATCAATCAACACTCACAAACAGAATCACAAGACTTAAACTACCAAGAACACAATCAAGAACACAAGATTTTTACGTGGTGCTTATTCCAATGGAATAAACTATGTCCATGTTGAGCCCAAGCAAATTGGGACTCTGTACTATAAGGATCAACGTATGACAAGTACAACTCAATCAAACCCAAATCGCTCAACTCTTACACTTATACAACAATCACTCGAACCTCCCTGTAATCACAATAAGCTAACCTGAAAAACTGAAAGCCTATACCAGAAACACCACTCTGTAATTTCTGCTAACAAGATTCACAGAATCTAAACCTGATTACAATGTTCAAAGAGTAGAAAATAAGAAGACTAAAAACTGTTGTAAAACGCGTGAAAGAAGAAGATGAAGCTGTTGTGTTGATTTTCCAGATTTGCTGCTTTTATACTTGACTTAATGAGCTAATAAGGCCATCAGATCTGAATGGAATCAATGGCTGAGGATTGTCACAAGCTAACACCAAAAACGTCAAACGTTCACTTAGACACCGTTGAAGATTCACTCAACAACCTCTACCTTGAAGCTTTAACACACCACCAAATCAAGAAAAAAACCAAATAACCTTATTAGTGCAGTTTCCTACAGATTGCTTTCACAGCTTGATTGTGCAGGTCATTTGACATGCAGTAAGTTCAAGCAGTGCTTAAACTTAACGGAGTGACACCTTTGTCCATGTCAGCAGGATGTTTCAGTTGGTACTTTTTCAGGCTGATCATCCTTTCTCAATTAGCTCCCTCACAAAGTGGTACTTGACATCAACATGTTTGGTCCGTTCTTGGTACACGGATCTTGCACAAGTGGATGGCACTTTGGTGTCCGAATAGACAGTAACTGTACCATCTAACAATTCTACCTGATAGTAATCCTTGGAGCCAAAGGTTTTGAATCATCGTGACAGCACAATATTCTGCCTCGGTGGTGGACAGTGCAACAATTGGCTGAAGTTGGGACTTCCAGCTCACCACATTTCCCCCAGGTAAACAAGTATGCAGTAGTTGACTTTCTTGAGTCCTTGTCATTGCAAAATCAGAGTCTACAAAACCTACAAGATCAAGTGAGTCAAATCTTTTTCCATATCCAGACCAACATTTAATGTACTGTTATATACCTAAGCAACCATTTGAGGGCAAGCCAATGCTTAAAGCCAGGGTTTGACATAAATCGGCTTAAAGGGAAATTGCAAAGGAGAGGTCTGGGTCTAGTGTGATCATGGCATACATAACAAACCCAATTACATTAGCATAGGGAGTATTTTCCATTTTAATTAAATCTGCATCTGGTGTGGGACATTGACTCTACTTAATGAAATGTCCAGCCAAAGGTACTGTTACTACTTTAGAACCTGTCATGCCAAATTTGGTCACCAGTTTTTGCAAATATGAAGTCTGATGCACCTTTCGTTCATTATGCTTTCTGTTTCTATCTATGACCATGCTAAAATTCTTTGCATGTCCTAAATCTTTCATATCAAATTCAGAGTTTAATTTTTTCTTTAACTCTTCTATTCTAGATTTGGACTTGCAAATTAAAAGCATGCCATCAACATACATAGCAAATACAAAGGCAATCATCATATAGCATAATGAAAAAAACTGTCAT